GAATATCATAAATCGAATGCTTTCTGCTTATGCAAACGGCTCTAGGCCTGGTCTGAACAATCAGTAGTAAACTGTACTTATGTAGTCATATATGTCCAGATGCGTATATGCGACAGACTGATTCCTGCAAATCATACATGAATCTATGGCGACCTTGTAAAATCTTTCTTCGATGGTAGATGAAGATCCGATAAAAGTGATAATAAAGTCACTTTACGCGAGTGAACATTTTCGCGTTTAATCTGCATTTTGTTAAACTATTAATTTGCTGTTTTTTTTAAAGCTGTGAAGTGCCCAGCTTTCATGTCGTTGGAAGACGATTTGGAATTGGACGAGATCGACTCATGTTCATTCCATTCGGATTCGAAAGATACTGTTTCTTGCAGGTACGAATTCTTGGCTAATGACTCGTACTGAATGACGATTTGTGTTTTAAGATGGTTTTGTCTGTTTTATTTAAATTGTTTGTTCGTGTCTGCCGGTCCTTTGGAAAATACAAAACTTGTGGTTTCGTGAACATTGGTTATGAATAGTATGCGTGGATGCTGATCTTCCTGTAGAAATTGTGAAACAACTGGACATTTTAATAGTCAAGTTCATGTTTCTGATAAATTCTTGTAATGCATTGCTGCGGAACTGTTTTGCTAATTTTCATTAACATGTTAAATTAATTTTCAGTTTGTTAATTTACTGGTTCCAATTAAATTCCGATTTATCATCATCATTTTCTTCTTCCATCGCCGCTTCTTTCCGGTCGCGGAGGCAGTCACATCAGACAGAGCTTCCAACGTTCCCGATCCTGTTCCAGAGTCCGAGCTTCGGCAAAAGATAAATAACGTCAGAACAGACTCCTAAAGTCGGAAATTCCAATTTAACGTTCCGATAAATCCTCCTCAACATTTTGGAAGAAGAAGCGCTTCCATAGAAATTCATTGAATTGGAGTTTTTGTGTATGTTCCAAGGTATTGACCAGTAGTTCTAGGATACGACCAAACTGATATGAAAAAATTCCTAAATTGGCCTTTCACTGCAATCTGTGGATCATTCTCGTCCCTTTGATTAAGGTTAAAAGGGAAGCTTAAGTTTCTCTAGTAGTATTCCTCAATAGCGCCACACAGGACATGACTGCAAATTCATCCATCTGTCAAGGGAACGCAAGGTGGTGGAAACCTAATCCGATCCGTGACGATGAAAAAGAGGTTAGCATTTTTTCAAAGCCTTTTATCTACTTCTATGCACCTTCCTACCTTCTTTGCTCATTAGTATAGATGTCCCGTAAAAACGTTTGCCAGTCGTAATGCCCGAGAAAAGCATGTATCATCGAAAACCATTTCAATTTTTTAAGTTCGGTATAGTTGAGTCTTCACAAATGCAAGCAGTAATCCGTCAGATGTTAACGTTTACACTTAGTTTATATGATGCAATTTCATTCAAAATACCACATTATATGCATGTTGAGATTTAGGTTTGGGTAGGAAATAAAGTTGAATTTTGATCGTAATTTCATCATCTTTTTGACAGACTAATTATGGAAACGTCGGAAATTGTGCATACCTGTTAACTAAAATGGATTTGTATATATAATGATTTATTTCAAAAATCAGAAACGTTTACATTTGTATGTTGATTTTGATGTGCGTGTCTGTGAAGGCACATTTTTGACGTGGAGCGATGAATGCATTCAAAAGAATGCGTTCCGCTATGGCAACAGCAGAATTCATTTATTTGCAGGTTACGCACTGGGCAGATTATCATTCTGCTGTCGGGTGGGGAAAGGCGAACGGTTTTCGTAACGCTTGCTCATTGGCATGGCATTCCCATACACGTGGGCATGTGTCGTACTATGTATCATCACCACACGAGAAAACTTTACCGTCCATGTTTTCTTCGTAGGCAGTTTGCTACCCGACTGCTTAATCGGATGAATTCCTTGTTTTCAAAAATTGATTGCAACAGCTGCGCTGCTACCCATTAAGGAGAGATTCTTTCGAAGATTCATTGTATGATAATTTGGATATGTTCCAAACAGGATAATCAGACATTGTCGCTCGTGAGTTTCTCCTTCAGATCGAGAAAACATGTTTGGACGAGAGATGGACAACTTTGCAATGCCACAGCTTTAATGAATAAGGGCCAGACTGTATTCAGCATCTAGCATTATCGCGCTTTAGGATTCAGGGACTATGAGGAAACGGTGAGGATATATTCCAATTTCCTACTGCCGATGTCGCTACTACTGGAACCTACTCTGACGTGTCATAATGACATCGCGCTGTCTGCCTCCTCTGTTCAGAACGGGTAGCGACTCCATTGCTGATCGGTAACTTCGTCGTCATCTCGACGATCTGTGCTGATACGCCCCCGACTGGCAGAAGGCAATTAGCAGGTTCTGATTACTGACTTTTCGCAGCCTGCCTCAATCCCCCAATATCCTATGTGACCCTTGGTAGCCTGGGCGACCACCGAGCCCGTATGATTTTCGATGACAGTAGTGCCTTTAAGGACAGGTAGCTAAGTTTTACGAAGACTTCGCCACTGCCTCTAACCTTTCTCCTTTCTCAACCGTGTTTGGGACCGGCAATGATGGAATTGCTCCTCAAATCAGTGGTGAGAATTTGCGCGGGTGTAGAAGTTCAAGTACGTCAGAGTCAGGAAAAATTTGGAAAAGCGTTCGACCGGCAATTGGAGTTGCCGGTGGTGTTCTGCATGAACTGACCCGATCTCCATTGTGACTGAATTAGAGCTGAGTCTGGAAACTAAGCTCTCGGTGTTCAAGTTGATCTTTATCCCCATACTTACCTACTGGTCGTGGGCCATGACTGATAAAATTCAGTCCCTCGTACAAGTGGCTAAAATGGTTTTCTGAGACGAATCGCCGGCATTAAACGTCTCGACATGGCTCTGAGTACATAAATCCGTGAGAACCTTGATGTACAGCCGTTGCTTCTTAAGATTGAGAAGTCACAGTTGCGATGGTTTGGGTACGTGTTGCGATTGCTTGCAGAAATCAAGGCAGAACAACTATTGCTTGCCCAGCCGACCGGCAGAAGTCCAAGAAACAGCCAAGATTAGCCTGATGCATATATATATATGGAAGGAGTCTGTTCCAGAATCCAGTTGTCTTCTGCTGAAGCTCAGACTCTGGCATCGGATCGGGAACGTTAGAAGCACAGCCTAACCCGAAAGGAGAAACGGCCATGGAATTTGACGATGATGAGGGGGGAGGAGTCGGAGGATGCGATAACTTTTTGAGACTGTTATCCCCATAACTCGGAAATAATGTTTCTTCTAAAAACATGCAAACAAGAGCAGAATGAGGATTTGTTTAACATCGGTGAGCGAGATTTGGTGTTAGCGTAGACCTTAAAGTAGTTAAAGCGTTTTCTCCACCTAACCGAATAAATTAATAATGGAACACTTTTTCTGTCAAAAGTGTAATCGAAGTTCAGCAGATTGGTACAAGGTAAAAACTTTCTGTAGGTCAAAGAGCAATGGCGTTAATGGGAAAAGTCACCAAAAGTTTAGCATTTACTCAACTGCAGATTCCAGCGATGAGGAGGTGCCTTTAGGTTCGTCGATCAGCAGCAAAAGGAAACCCGTGCCGTCGCAGACCAATGGACTCAGTGATAAAGTTTTGCCTAGAGGCGGCGAACGCGGCAAATATCCATCACAGCAGCCACCATTCATCACTTCATCCTGCGACTCATTCATCAAGCTGACGTCACTGCTGGACGAGGACCGCGAGCCATGCCCACTGATTATCGCCATTTTTACCTACTTCTCCTATGCGTTCCTTGTAGCCATTGGTTACTTCCGAGACCTGATGAGGGCGATCGGTATAGAGAAGAGCAAAAATGCACAGGATCGTGCTGAACATAAGGTAAATATATATACTCATTGCTGTTTATTACCCTTTTGTATGTTTCGCACCGGCACGAGTTAAACTTCGTATCAGTTTATCGTTATTTTGCATATTATTATAAATGATTTTCATCCTTTGGGAAGTAACCTAATTCGTGTATAACTAAGCATGCAAGAAGGTAGGCGAGTGAAATAAGTAAGGTAGTAAATAAGATAACCGAACAAAATGATAAATTACTCATCGACGAATGTGCAGATTATTCATGCGATAGTGTTGTTACATTTTTAATCAATCACTGTGTTTATAAATCTGTTACAGTCTAGAGGTTTGTACAGATTTAGACATTGACAAAATTAGTTTGCATTATGTAATTTCTTTTTGTCTATGTTAAGTACAAAACCTTAAGCCTAAACAGATCTTTTATCTCATACATTACGTTGAGTTTCTAGTGTGATTGCATTTTGAAAACTGATGTAGATCTCGAAATTTGCACGTACCCGTGGATTGTATTTGTATAAATTGAGATGAATTTGTATGTATTGTGTTTTATTTTAAAAATTTTAAAGTCTATGCACGTACATGCATTTGCTTCATTCAGGTACGTACTACAGTGTTTAGGCAGTTTAGCGTGCCAGTAGGATTCGAAGTTGGTAAATACGTTTAATAGTAAGCAAATTAATTGCCTACTGTTGGGCTGAGAGACAAACGCTGAACATCGAAAATACCCGAATCTTTATAGAGATTTTAGGCAAGTTTCTTCTGTGCCCTTTCACAACTCGGTCGTCAGAGAACGTATTGATAAGTTGAGGGGAAAAGCGATCTTATAGGTCACGAACTCACGGATGAGAAATCTCGTCCGAAACTTTCGTGCCCCACTTGAAGACTGTGTTAATTTAAATTCAACTCTTGAATCTGTCTTGCTTTTAGAGCTTTGTTCCACTTTATTCAGACTTCGAGGCGTTGTACACAAGAAGCGTTTATATACGTATTCGTGATTCATGGAATCGTCCCGTGGCGTCCGTGCCCGGGCGGAACATGCTTCTGCCTGACAGAGTCACCGATGACTATGGTTGGACTTTTCGGTAAATGCGCCGTTGTCTTTTGTCTTTTTATTTACGCCGGTTTCTGTTTATCTTTTTTGTTTATTTTTGTGCTTAGGTTTTCTGGAACGAATACTTGTGCTCTGAACCTCGGTTCGTACAATTATCTCGGATTCGCTGAAAACAAAGGTCCTTGTATCCACGATGTCGAAGAGTCCATCCGAAAGTTTGGCCTCAGTATTTGCAGCTATACACAAGAAATAGGTTGTTGTGATGGTCGTTTTCCCATGCAGATTTGCGATATCAGATGTGGTGTTTTTGAAGGGAATCACGTGATACACCGTTTGCTGGAACGTACAACTGCCCAGTTTCTCGGAGTCGAGGACGCCATGTGTTTTCCAATGGGGTTCGCTACGAATTCGCTTAATATCCCGTGTCTCGTTGGAAAGGTGAGCACCGATTGACTAAGGCTTGTTCCCATTGTGTGATTTGTTACCTTCTGTATGTATAGTGCCTTTAGAACGACATAATTTTGAGCGACGAGCTGAACCACACATCCTTAATCCTCGGTTGTAGGCTGTCCGGTGCGTCGATTAAAGTCTTTAAACATAATGGTATGAATCCGGATTTTATTGTATATTTATTAAATTGCGATTCTTTGTTTGCGTTACTACGTTGGCTGATGCCTTTTGCCTGTGTACTCGTTGAATTTTGTTGCAGAACGTCACTGCTGTGCCAATCAGGTTATCGCAGTTGCGATAGTTTTGGGAAATTATTGGAACGCTTTAGCAAGGACATGCATTACGGTTTTTGTTCACCGAGCCACTTTGCCAAAGGCAAAATTTCAGAGCATAGGCTAACTGGCTTCAATAGATTAAACACTTGGCATTGTCGTTCCTTGTAATCCACTGCATGGCACTTTTGAGCAATACTCAAATGAAAAACTTTTCTGAAATTGCTGAACGGATAGCGGACTGAAATGAATGTGATCAATACCGTCTGTCTTTCTGTCATCGTATGCAGGTACTCTTTTAGGGTTGTACGAATCAGCTTTATGAAATTTCTGTAATGGTTCAGTTCTTCTCTCGATGGTGCAAGTTTTCATGAGTTTTTTGATTCAGCAAGATATACGGTGTCGTTCTGTTATCTGCTCCGATGTCCTAACTTTAGCTTGACCTTAGCGTGTCCCTTGGCCATATTTTCAGACCACCAGTCTATTGTTTCTTATTGTAGAGAAGTAACGATTCACTAGGAAATTCATCTTATTTCCATGGTACAACCCTGATCCACTGTCACGACACTTGCACCCTTTAGAGAAATCCGCATTTTTGCTGTTTGTTGTTCTTATCGCATCGGTTACTCATGACCAAGAGTAGAATAAACGTTGGGCAGTCTGGAAGTGACAAACTAAGAGAAATATTAAATGTAATATCTTCTTCATCTTCATCTTCCATCGCCGCTTCTCCTTTCGGGTCGCGGAGGCAGACGCGTCAGA